AGACTGAACCTCTTTCTCTAGGCTGTAGCTGAATCTGTGTCTTCCAGGACATGCCCGCAGGCCCCGCCCAGTCTCAGTCTTTCCCCGCTCCTTCCTCATCTGTGTTCCTTTCTTTTCCTCCAAGACATCCTTCTCTCCATTTCAGAAAATCTCTGGTGTCCTGTCTGAGGCTAGGGCAGCTGGAGCCTGTAACTTTTGGGGTCTCTATCTCATTCTCTCTCTCAATCTCTCTCTCTCTCTCTCTTTCTCTCTCTCTCTCTCTCTCTCTCTCTCACACACACACACACACACACACACACACAGGGGTGCGCACACACACAGGTTAAGCAGGGATCAGGGCCAGGTTGCTCCTGATGCTGGGGGAAGACTGCCTGACCCTGCTTAGGTGTCTTCCCTGCAGTGCAACTGGGTCCTTCTCTGCAGTGGGAAGTGGAAGGTTTGATAGATGCCACTTTGCCATTCAGAACAAGGCGCCCCCCCCCCCACTCTAGCAATGTCCTGGGGGCTTAGGAGAGAGAGCCATATCCTGGGACCAAAAGGGCAGCTTGCTTTGATCCTCCATCTCTTCATCTCAAAGGGAGGTTGATTTGATGGAGTTCAGAATCAGAAGGGATCTATGAATCTAAGAGGTCACTTGGTCCAGGGCTTACTCTGTGTAGGAATCGCTGAGCCCACTGTGCTGGGGGGACGCAGCACAGCTCTTGCCAGAAGCCCTCCAGAAGCCATGGTGCCTTCCTTCCCAGGGGCCATCGCCTCGTTAAATAGTCATAGCTGTTAGAACCTCCACGCACTTATCCCCCATTCTTCAATAATTTGTTAAGGTTCCCTCTGGGTCGGTGTCCCACCTACTGTTATCAGGGTCTCTCTCAGGGCCACCAAGGCATGAAGTGGTGCAGTTTTAACTGAATATCCTTGGAGGCACCGTCCCTTCCGTGGATGCTGTCTGGCAGCTCTAACTGCCTGGCACCAACAACATGCTGTGTGTTGTCTGTCTCATGTAAGTTTCTCCACCACCTTGATGGGGCCGGTGTGCCTATCCCCATTTTATATGGAGGAGATGAGGCTCATGAGTTACCATGCCCATGGTAGCCAGCTTGTAAGTGGCAGAGCTGATCAAGCCCTCTCAAGCTCTGTGTCTTCTTCTGGGAAATACCTGCTCTCAGTTACCCTGTCTGTAAAATGGGGATGTTTCCACCTGCTTGTTGGATTTATTATAAGCCCTAAGCAAATCATATATGGAAAACACTAAATTTTTAGTTGCTGGTGCCCAGTTCTGACTTGATAAATGGTGGCCAGTCACTATGATCCTGGGTACTGTCCCTTACCATTCCTTCCCTGCTGTGTCTACAGGATACGGCCTCATCCCTGGGCCTCTACCCTCTTTTCTCCAGAGCATGGGGTTGTACCTGATCCCAGTGAGGAGTGCTTTGGCCAGAGGAAGGTCAGAGGTGGAAGGGGCCTTTCCCCCAGGCCAACAATGGCTAACCTGGCCGGCTGGCATCAGGCTCTGCAGGTTGGCATCAGGCTCATCAGGCTCTGCCCTAGCCCTGCCTCCCACATGTGGTAATTAAGCCCACAGCATCTAGTGTAAGCAAATAATAACAAGGGCATTATCTTTCCTTGGTCTCTGTTTGTCCTTGCCTATCATAAAGTAATTAAAGTAATGAATGCCTTGTAAAACAATAGTTAAGAGGGCTGGCAAAAGGGCATCATCTGCGAAATACCTCTTGTGCTCTGAATTATTGATGTGTTGAAACCACGGTGACCGTGGAAGACTCCCAGCCTCCCGGCCTTTTTCCTGCTCCTTCTCTCTACCAAGGTCTGAAGGCCTGCGGGGTGGCTGTGGGCCCCAGGCTGAGGAGCAGCCTGCGGCCATGGACCAGCTTTGACACATGGCTGGGGGGCGCTGCTCAGGGGGAGAAACAAGAGCCTCTGATTGGAGGGCTTTGCTCTGTTCCCACCCCTTCCTTGTCCACCCACATTCTCTAGTTCTGAGAGAAGCAGGTGGTTCTGTCCTGGGTGAAGGGGGAAGCTGGGAAAGAGCTGGGGGTTAAGATCTGTGTCCCATTTCAGATCAGGGCAGGAATGATGAAGCCGTGCCAGCATGATTAGGAACAGTGGTTCTCAAAGTGGGGTTCCCAGACTGCAAGCATCAGTATTCTCTGGGAACTTGTTAGAAATGCAGCCCCAACACTCTGTTTTAACAAGGCCTCCCAGTGCTTCTGATGCCCACTTGAACTTGAGAAGCACTGCTTTAGAGTGTCATGGCTCAAGGAGAGGCGAGAGGTGGTAGCACCAATTAACTGAAAGTGTGTGTGTGCCTTTGGGTACTGTTTAATCCCGCCAATGCCAGTGGGACAGGCCGCATTGTGCCCATCTTACAGGGGAGGTCCCAGGGGACAAGAGAGCTGAATCTACACCTTCAGTTACCAAGGCTCCTAGTAAGGGCCTCTGGGTCAGGACCATTGTCATTTATAGGACACTCACTTGGGCTGAATCTCCACATAGTCAAGACACAGTCAAGTCTTAGGTCAAGACATAGGTTCCTAACAGGCCAAATGAGATTGGTTTGGGCAGCAGACTCCACAGATGTCATCAAGTGGCACCAAATGTGCCCACTCTGTGGCTCCCCAACTACAGCCTCCTCTTAGGCGATTCCAGCTCCCTGGGGCCTAATACACTTAGAACTCCAGCATGAGCACCCAGTGCTGATGCTCCTTGTGCCCTCCTGCTTCTCTGAGCCGTGGAGGCCAGAAGGGAGGACGCTGTGTCAGGAGCAGCTTCCTGCCTGCGAGTCCCCAGGAGGATGACTCATCCCGTGTCGCTCAGCTTTACCTTCCTCACTCTGCCCCATCCCCACTCACTGCAGACAACAGTTTTCACCTCTGCCTTGGTTTCTCTCCTGTGCTCCAGCTCACAATGTCTCCAGTGCCTGTTTGCCTAGAAAATTAATTCTGTTTTATGAATTTTTATAAAAGTTTATTTGTTTTCAGAGAGAGAGCGTGCAGTGAGGAGGACAGAGAGGGAGAGAAAGAATCCCAAACTCGTGGAGCCGGACTTCGGGCTCAAACTCACTTTCTGTGAGATCATTACCTGAGCCAAAACCAAGAGTCAGATGTTTAACCAACTGAGCCACCCAGGCGCCTCTTGAAAATTAATTTTAAGGTTTTAAATGGTGAATATAGTTTGCTGGCATCTTTTTATACATCTGTACCTGCAGAAATAATCTCAGTAGGTATTTGAGCAGGGGGCCCATTTAAATTTAAATTTTATATAATGAGTATGTGTTTAGTATAACTGTGTGCTGTGTAAAAAGTATGTTGTTTATCTGAAATTCAAATTTCTCTGGGTGTCCTGTATTTTGCTTGCTAGTCCTAAGCACATTGTGAAGGGCTGGTTCTCATAACACTTTTTCACTTGTTCATTCATGTTTATAGAGCCACCTGTATTCAAGGCACGCTTTTAGGCACTCAGGGTACAGCACTTGGTAGGGGAGGCAGACTGTAAGTAAAAAATAAAACCAAAAGGTGGTGCTGTTGGAATTTAAAATTTTTTGAAATGTTTATGTACCTTTGAAGGAGAGAGAGTGAGAGCGAGAGAGAGAATGAGAGCAAGAGAGAGAGTGAGAGTGAGAGCGAGAGAGATAGTGAGAGTGAGAGCGAGAGCGAGAGAGAAAGAGAGAGAGAGAGAGCACCACTGCGGAGGGGAGGGGCAGGGAGAGAGGGAGACACAGAATCCGAAGCAGGCTCCAGGCTCTGAGCTGTCAGCACAGATCCTGATGCAGGGCTTGAACTCACGGACTGTGAGATCATTACCTGAACTGAAGTCAAACGCTTAACTGACTGAACCACCCAGGTAGAGTTGGAATTTTCAAAGGCTAGGCAGAGAAGATTTCACTGAAAGGTGGTATTTGAGCAAAGACTTGTGGGAAGTGAGGGAGTAAGCTGTGACCTTCTGTGGGAAAAGAATGTTTTAGGCAAAGGGCACGTTGTGTACAAAAGTGTGCAATTTAGGGCCCCATGTGGGGCTCAGTTATCTGAAGAGGTCAACCTTGTTTCCTGAAGCATGTTTTTAACCATGAAAGGAAACTTATTCTCTTTTGTAATTAAAAAGGTCTGGGGGTGCCTGGGTGGCTCGGTCAGTTGAGTGTCTGACTTTGGCTTAGGTCATGATCTTACGGTTCGTGAGTTCAAGCTCCACATCGGGTTCACTGCTGTCAGTGAGGGAGCCTGCTTCATATCCTTGGTCCCCCCTCTCTCTGCCCTTCTCCACTTGTGCTCTCCCAAAAGTAAATAAAACACTTAAAAAATGTTATTAACAAAGTTCTGGTGTGGATTTCAGGTACAGTTGGATTCAAGTGTTCAAAGGATGACATTAGTATTCTATCACGTCTCCTAGTTTCCTTTGTGGTGGCTTTATTCTCAGGGAAGGGTTGCCTTTCCTAGTCTTTCCAGCAAAAGTCCCAGGCTTGAATTGGATTGGGTTGGCATGGGTCATGTGACCATCACTGGCTCAATCTCTGTTGCCTGAGGGATGGAATGGAGTCTCCATTCCTGGGACCAACGTGGGCCTTCAGTTCCTTTTGAACTACATAGATCGAGATGAGTAGATGGGGATTTCCTGCAGGAAGATAGGGTGCTCCTGTGAGAAGGGGGTGAATGGTGGGCATCATGCCAACCTCACCTCTTTGTAGTCCCTCCATGACCCGAGACAGGATGTTTTCCCTGCTGAGCTTCGTGGTTTTTTTCCTTTCAAGTGGAAAGAGAATAATTTCATTCTTCTTTCTTTCACAAAGATATTTTAAGAGGAAATAAAGACTCTTTTTAAAAAGATTAAAAAAAAAAAATCAAAGCCATAGTCTGTCCCAGCTCCTCACCCCATGTACCTTCAAGCCAACATCCTCATCAGCCAGGACCTTTCCAACTCTGATTCTTTTGGGCAGGTTGTGTTTACGAAATCCAGTTGGTTCCTGTTCTCAACCCTGTTCTCTCTGTTGCCAGGAGGCCCAGAAGATTAACAATGGCTCGAGCCAGGCGGACGGCACTCTCAAGCCAGTGGACGAAAAAGAGGAGGCAGTGGCAGCCGAGGTCGGCTGGATGACCTCTGTGAAGGACTGGGCGGGGGTGATGATCTCTGCCCAGACACTAACTGGCAGAGTCCTGGTGAGTCTCCAACTGCTTGAACTCAGGGAGGCCTGCTGTCTGGCCCATGATCCCACCATGTTTCCTGGGTCTTCTCTAGCCTACTGACTATTGGGGAATGGGGGTGAATAGTGGGTCATGGGGTAGAGGCTGGCTCCCCTGTGCACATAAGCCAGGAGTGTGAGGGAGATTTGCAGAATGGGCCAGCACCTGGGGCTAAGAGGGTACACTGAGGAGGATATAGAACATATCTTCTGCCAGCAGAGTAGGTGTGTGCGTGCATGCACACACAGGCGTGCACACAGACACCCATGTGCACAGACACACACGCATGCACACAGCTTGATAATCTTGGAGAGGAGAAGAGAGTCAGAGAACTGTGCTCAGAATTCCACCGAGAGCCCATAAATGATAAATGCCAGGATGCATAGAGTGCTCAATATATGCCCGTTCACTCTGTCAGGTCTGCTCTGGGTCAGGAGTTTCCCTGAGAAGGAAGCTGCATTCCAAATGATTTCTTGTTACGATTCTGGAAGCTGTTTTGTACGGGCTGCCCTTCCTGGGCTTGAAGCTGAGGCTTGGTCAAGACTCATTTGGCTTAAAGATTGAATAGGAATGTCCTGACAGCTGGGTAAATCAAAGATCAGGCAGGGCCATTGGAAGATAGGTGCCACACCCAAGGTGTTTCATGGTGAGAGTTCAGTGAGGAGGTGACAATAGGTGTGAGGAGATGGGAAAAGTTTCACCCATCAGAATCCTTCTTGGGGAGAACTCTACGTTATGTTTGGGATAAATATCTCGCAAACTGTTGAGGGAGGGACTATGACAGTGAATGTCATGCTCACATCACAAAGGTGGTGGCCAAAGTCATCAAGGAGGACAAGGTTCTGTTAACTGAGTGAGCTTTTGGCAGCCGAGCCTTCTGGAAAGTCTGGAAGCCGTGGCTGATGTTAATTGCTGGCACCATAGAAATCGGAGAGGTTTAAAGCTGGGGTTCTGGAGAGGAGAGAGAGCAATTGGTGAGGCCAGATTCTGCATGGAGGAGGGCAACCCGGGTCTGTAGGACCCAGGAGAGACCGGGTGGCAAGGAAGCGTCTAATGCGGAATTGTAGGTTGCTTGCCACGGCCTGTGCTGTGTTACCTCCATCCTCACCTCCCTGCACAGTCTTCTGCAGTAAAGGCTCTGTTGCTGTTTGGTGCTTGTGTATAAGTGGATTCTCTGGGAAGCAGATGGAGGGTGAATTCTGGGTCTGGGCGTTCATGGGGAAAGAAATGCAGGCAGCACATGCTATCCCTGTGCTAGTGATGGGGGGCAAGGAACAGCAGACCGTTTGGTTGCACGAATGCAATGCCAGTCACTTCCACATGGCCACTGTAGAAGCTCTGATTATCTCCATTGGCAGCAGCTGAGAGTTACCAGGATGACTCAGCTAGGCGTTCTTTTGTGGCCCTGTGGAAAACAAGGAATGATCTACTTCCATTGTACCATGGATGGAAGTTATTGAAAGAATGTATGAAGAAGAAATGCTGAGTACAAGCATCCTGTGGGTGTGGATAGGGGGTGCTGAGTGTGGGGACATAGGGGCCATCAAGAAAGCCTTTGTGTCGCTTCACAGGGAGGAGCCTTTGAGCTAAACTCCCATTTCGAGATGAACTGAGCACATGCTTGATGACAGAGAAGATATCGGAGATAGAAGCATACCTGAGCTTAAAAACAAGAAAAGGACCACTTAGTGGGACAGAAGCTGAGAAGAATACCTAAATAATACATAACAAAACGGAGAGCATTTGAGATGAGCTTTGAACTGTGAGCTGGCATCTTGAATGTCCACCCAGTAGAGGGGGTCATCCCAAAGAGTGAGGGAACAGTGGCAGCAGAGAAAGGGCGTGGAACACAGAGGGACTGAGGTCCAGACTGAGGGGATGGAAGACCAGGAAGATGGGCTGGCGGCAGCTCGTCAGATCTTCAAATGCCCAGCTGAAGAATGCGGACTGAATTTTGTAGGAAAAGGAGATTTTGAGGGAGGGCCATTGTGATTGGTGGTTGTACAGAGAGAAATACAAGGGGACAAGTAAGGAGCAAATTGGTGAGGCGGGAGCACGACGTGCTAGGATCCGTCAGGACAGTGAGCTACTGCGCTGGGGACAGGCCAAGAGCAGATGACCACAGGGGACCCGCCACAGCAAGGCCTCAACGAGCACCACGCAGTACAGGCAGATGGGTGGATGTGGGTGGTGCTGCGAAAGCAGAACTAAGAGGCCAAGGACACCAATAGTTACGTAGATACTCCTACTCACAGTAACATTATCGAGAGCCTCCGGTGAGCCAGGCTCTGTGTGAGGCACTGTGCATTATGATCAGGTTGAAGGGCAAGGGCCGTGTTGTATTTGTTCCATCTCTCCTGTTTGCTGTTGTGTTGTCAGGGTTCATTACAAGGAAGCAGGCAAACCAGTCTTATCAATGGATTTGTCTCCAGTTTACATTTGAGGAACCCAAGGCATAGGAAGGGCAGTAACTTACCGAAGAACATACAGCCTCAAGTCGCAGAGCCAGGCTCGTACCTGCAGGCCTCTGGACTCCCTGTCTAGTGCTCTTTCTGTGTCATGAGTTCCCCAGAAAAGATAATGCCTCTTCTTTTCCTAAGCCACTGTCAGCTGTCGCTTTGGCTGTGACATTTTGACATTACTGTCTGAGCCAGTTAGGTCCTGAGGCGGTTTGGCCTGATTCGCTTAACATTTGCATGGACAAGCACAGCCTGCCTACGCCTCTCTGCCCCTGATGCCAGCTGCTCTCTGAAGGTCTCCTTGGAGAAAGTCCTGCCGGGGCTGGTCTGGCCCACACATAGCAGGCCTGATGCCACTGCACACAGAGAGCGGGCGTCTCAGTACCTTCGGAACAGGCCTCTCCTTTAGGGGAAGGCGGGTCTTTGCTCTGAGTGAGGAGCATATTTCACATAGAAGTCTCCGTGCGCACGACAAAGCAGCTCTGTCTGTTCCGAACCCAAAGCTGTGTTTGTCTGGAGCTGTCCAAATGTTTATCCTTGCAACAATGGGATTAAAGCAAGACTAGACACCCAGCAGTTCAGAGTTCCCTTATTTGATGTTTAATTTTTTTGGACACATGGCTTCAGGAGCTTGGCTGCCACACCTGAGCCCCTTCCTTACCTGTCTTATTGTCACAGGCGAGAGTCTCAAAGTGAGGAATTGTGGGTAAGGCCCAGATTGGGGAAGATTCTCTAGACGACCCCAGCACATCTGTAGATTCACCTGCTGTCTGGGATCTCTCAGACGAGCACATCATTCATTCAGCAAATGCTTATTTCTCACCTGCTCCAGACACTATTCTAGGCCCTGGGCATAAGGTGATGAGTATCAGAGATCTAGGGTGTGAACTATTTATATTGATAGACTAGATATAAGGTTGTCGAGCTCAGTGTGAATAAGGATGAATGATAGTCACCACTCCCCAGTGCTTTTTGTGGTTCACACCTGGAGCATTGGGTCTCAAAATACCTGCCTGCTGCTCCCACCATGGTAGTCAGGCTTAGCTTCATAGGAACAGCAAGACTGGATAGCGCCTTCTCTTGGAGCACACGGTGGAGGGGTTCAGCATCAAAGTGGACACCAGGCTGTCAAGGGTTACTGCTTCCATTATCAATAAAATTTTTTTAATGTTTATTTATTTTTGAGAGACAGAGAGCAACCAAGGGAGGGGCAGAGGGAGAGGGAGACACAGAATCCAAAGCAGGCTCCAAGCTCCGAGCTGTCAGCGCAGAGCCAACGTGGGGCTCTAACTCACGAACTATGAGATCATGACCTGACCTGAAGTCAGATGCTTAAGGACTGACCCACCCCAGGTGCCCTTCCTTTATCTTTTTAAAAAATTAAAAATATTGATCATTTTCTGGTTATAAAAAGGGTGCACGCTTATTTCAGAATTGGGGAATGTGCTGGAAGAATTGAGGACAAAATCTGCTTTGGGACTTGGGGTTGGCCCACACTGAGGTACATTTCAGGGGCAGTAAATGCCATGGAGATACTTCCTAGCTGTTTGGGTGTTTCTGGGGCTTCACTCCATCTCATGTTACCCCTTTTATGCACAGACTCTAGGGATAAGTGGTTCTCTGTGCCAGGGATTGCTGAGGTCTTCTGCGGGCCTTCAGCGAACACCGTAAGTTGGGAAAGGGATCCTGGCCCTCTCCGTGTAGTGGCTTCTGAGAGCCAAGTTCGTGGCCACTGAAAGCACACAGCATCTCAGGATTTACAGTCTACATGTTCACACCCCTCTGACTTCACGTCTGTGTTTCTTTGCTCATTTTTCCCTTTGTCCTGATTTCCTTACTCTCTCCTATTCAGACTTTACATGTATGCGGCTATGTGCTACATTACAGTTTTGTGAACTAAACTAAATCTTTCTAAGAATAAGGCAGTATAGTTAAGTGGGCAAGAAACTGAGCAGGCTTTTGTATTGTTTGGTTGTACTTTATAGAATCATTAGCCAAAATCAGTACTGGAGATAGTCTAGTTCAGGGTTGGTAAGGTGTTAGGTTAAGGGCCAGATAGTAAAGATTTTAGGCTTTGTGGACCATAGGGACTCTGTCACAACTACTCAGCTCTACCATTGTAATTTGAAAGAGGCCATGGACAATACATAAGTGTGACTGTGTTCCAATAAAACTATGAAAATAGGTGATAGGCCAGATCCTTTTTCATAGACATAGATTGTGGCCATGGTCTATTCAATTCCTTATTTAGTAAATAAAGGAATTGAAGGACAAAAATTAGAAGGCCTTCCTTAGGAAGGAATTTTCTAAGCTTATACAGCACAGGAGTGACAGTCCTGGAGAACCCATTTGTAATGAGGAAAGTTACAGACACATACATATCCTCACCCCATCTCTGTTAAGCATCTTGTTTCTAAATATTCATATTAATTTCTACATTGATCTCAGGCCATATCCTTAAGAAAAAACTCTGTCTCATGTCCAACCATGGCCTCACTTCTAGGTGTGAGCAGCCGA